GTGATTGTCGGGTAACAATTTTCAAGAACAAATACTTTCCCAGGCAACTACTGGGGACTCAGACCAATTTTGTTTATTACATTGATGAGACCATTTCTTTTCAGTACACTAACGTAAGTGAAAAAGAAAATCCCAAACAGAAAGGCTTGGAGTTTCACAATTTCAAGGAATCCCAGAAGAAAGAAAGCACTATTTCTGTGATGTTTGATCTTTCCATTTTCCTATACTTTCAATATGTGAGAATAGTGAATTCAGGATAGGGATAAGCTCTTCATTTTGGGCCACACTTTCTTCCACTGTAAATAAGATACTTGGTTTACTTGAACACTGGAGAGTGAAAATATTTTCCATATTTTAATACATATTTCACTTCTGTTTGTCTGAGTTTGCTCATTTACAAAACTGTAATAATAGTAACAAAAATGCTGATGATGATACCTTGATCACAACCTATGGTTTTAAGCCCTGACAGCATGGAGAACTCCAGGTTATTGCCAAGAAGTATCTCAACACCAGGGAGAATCCCATAGGCTTTGCTGAGCAGTTGTCACTCATCCTTTGTTCATACAAACTTGGGTACCCAGATATGTATGAACTCATAGTTGCCCTAGTTGGCAAAGAGGAGGTTAAGAATTGGTGTCAAAAAACTGACTGGGAAGAACTGGAGGAGGATCTGGAGATGGATTGTGATTCGGATAGTGGAGGTAAGGAGCCTTACCAACTCATCCAATTATGGATGAAAAGATCCTTCAGGCCATACCCCTTGCATTCCTTCAACGCAGTGATTTAACAGATTTCCAAGACACTAGACAGATTTCTGAATAATCTGTTTATCAGTTTCACAAAAGACTTGCCCCAGCTTTTGAATGCAATTCTGGTCTCGAGCAGAATAGTGCAGTGAGGCAAGGTCAGTTATATCCTACTTTATTAATAATCTTCACCCATCCATCTCAAAACAAATTAAGCTTTCTTACTGGCAACATTCTGACATTGGGCTCCTCCTTAAGACCACAGTATGGCTGGCTTTCATTCTAGCAGAGGAGGATGAAAGTAGTACAAAGGAACTTAGAGAAGCTAAAATGAATTTTTTTCCTTGCAACCCCCCTGCAGGTGCAGCACCCCATTCCTCCTCACTCCCCTCCCCCATAAGAACGGGATCATTCGACAAGAACAAGAAGTTAGGAGATTGTGTTTACTATAAGAAACCTGGTCACTGGAGAATAAAATGTAGAATAAAGTCTAGGGTAGATGCTAAAAAATGGAAAGCACTCAAGAAAATTTTGAGGGAACTTCCCTACAACCTTGATCTCTCATCATGATGAGGCTTTTCCCCTTAATCCCATCTGGCTCTTAACCAAGTTCCCCCTAGCTTGTGGGCTTCAGATACCACTGATACTGGGTCAGTTAGCAGTGACCCACCTATTGTTGTGCAGTCAGACCCCTCTAAATCCTTACCTTCCATATGTCAATACACATTTAGCATTGAGGTGGTTGAGGGCGTTCAGCCCCTTATTAACGCCTATTTGTCTAAGAGCTTTTGTAGCTTCTGTATTTCCATGATTAACACTCCCATTTGTTCAGTCCCCAAGCCTAGTGGATAGGGTTCAGCCTGTGCATGATTCCTGAGCAGTTAGTACTATTGTAAGCCCCAAGTACCTGTCATCCCCAACCACCACACTGTGCTTAATCTTGTACCTCTGTGGGCCACTTATCTAATGGTGGATGACCTCTGTAATGCCTTTTTTTTTAAAATCCCTGTTACCCTTGAAAGTCAATTCATTTTTGATTTTGCCTGGGAGGGGTGCCAATATACCTGGACTCTCCTTCCACAGGGGTTCACTGGGTCACCATCCTATTTCTCATACCTATTAAAAAAAAACCCTTGTCCCTGTCAGATTTTAAGAATTTTGTCCTCCTCCAGTATGTTGATGACATCCTCCTTTGTCCCCCCACCAAGATGTTTCTATGTATTTCCTTAACGTTTTAGCAGCAAGGGGTAATAAGATATCTCAGGCCAAACTCCAGCTTCCACTCCCTTCTGTGAAGTTCCTAGGACATCACTTCTCTGCCTCCAGCCTTTGCCTAGACTCCTCGCACCTTAAGGCTCTCACTCACTTCCCTGTATCACACACCAATCTTCAGCTCTGTGCCTTCCTTGCTCTGATGGACTATTGCCATCTCTGGATCTCTGACTTTTCATGTGTTGCCTGCCCCTTTGAGACCCTTTAAGGAATTTGGTACCTGAGCCTATGGCTCTCTTCCCTGATGTTCACAACTCCTGTCATTCTCTGAAGGTGGCCCTCAAGTACCCACCCCAGGTCTCCCCAATCATTTGATTGGGTCTGAGAGAGGAGGGGATGCAATTGCTGTACTAACACAAAAATGTGGTGCAAACTTTCATCCTGTGTGATACTATAATAAAACTTTGGACAATGTTGCTCAGGCTCCCAGGCTGTCTTCATGCAGTAGTAGCCTCCGCTATCCTTGCTTCTGCTACTGAGGACATTTGTCTTGACTCTCCCTTAATGGAACATGTTCCTTATGCTATTGAAACACTCCTGAATTCACACCATACCCAACATTTATCCTCTACATCTAAGAGGCAACAGCCCCCCTGCCCGCCCCCACCTTGGATCATTAGATCCCATGCAATGAAATCCCACCCTGGCTCTGAACTCGTCATGAGTTGCTTCCTTAAATGCCTCACTTGCTTCCTTTGCTCAGCTTCTGTGGCCACAGATTTCCCTGAACAGGACTGAGACATCTTATAAATACTACAAAGGCCCCCTGTAGCCCATGGAGTGCAGAAGCCTGCCCCAAAAAATCAGGCGTGAGATCTCTGACCTTTGTCCCTGATAAAGGCAACTGTAAAAGCATCTATTCTTTGTCCAGGTTAGTGTGGGAATCCCAGAGAGGCCTCTGGTTCTGTAATAATGACGGAGCTAAATACCCAAGGCTGGAAGCACTCTGCTCTGGGACTTTAACTCACTCGGGCTGGAATTCATTCTCTAATACCTAACTTGCCATTTAATTACCCCCTTCCACAGGACTGTTTTTTGTGGCTCTACTTTATATCAAAACATCCCTCCCTCTGCACGCTTATCTACACCATGACCAAATTATCCCTATTTCCAGGGAACCACTCCACTGAAGTTCCTCTCCAGTTAAGACTATCCCTCCACTGACAGCAAGGTTGGCTTACCTGCAGCCCTGTTGGCAGCCGTCAGATCCCTGACTGGCACTTCAGCCGTCCTTGGTACACTGTACCCATCTGCTTGTAACCTCTTGGCAGAGTTAGCTGTGGGCTTGAAGCCTGCTGGAGAGCTTGTCACCAGTCTCCAGACTCAGGTTGATTCACCTGCCCTCATAATATTACAAAATCTCCAGGTGCTGGATGCCCTAAGGGCTGAGCAAGGGAGGGCCTGTGCAGTCATTGAGGAGCAATGTTGTTTCTATGTCAACAGGTGCTCGCAAATAAAGACCTTAGCACACTAAACAAGCAAGTGAAAGATTTATGGAATAGTGGCCAAAACATTCTGAAGGACGTCTCCCTCTCTCCTTCTTTGACCTATTTTCCTGGTTTGCTGGAAACCTTGGCAGCATTCTCCATTCTTCCCTCCCTGGTCTGAGGTTTCTCTTCCTTATTTGCCTTGCCATCTACCTTGGCATTCATTTTGTAATTCACCTATTCACTTCTGTCTTACAGAAAAACAAAATCATGTTTCAGTTGAATATTCCCCCTGAGTGTGCATGGCTGCCCCAGCCTTTGAACAAAAGGAGGGAACTTAAGGGGATTTAGGATTATCATTTTAATTGATAGGATATGTGTAATGATTATACTATCTGGATATTTTAGAATTCCCATTTTCCCAAAAGATTCTGGCTTGGGAGGCAGAGGCCGACCACAGCTTGAAATGGTCAACCAAATTTAACAAATCTTGCTTTCCTATGCTTGTGAATGTTAAGTGAATGGAATTAGAGACTTCAAGACCTGTTCCCATCACAGGACTGGTTCTGTATCCCACTAAATAATCACAACCCATGAGACTTAAGACTCTCAACTTAAGAGATGTTTGCAGAGGACTCAGGAACACCTGCATTGCCCACACATATGCCTACTTTGGGAAAATCTGGCTTGATAATGCTTATGTCATGGTCCAGCACACCTGTGATTTTTTATGTCTATAAGCTTTGCCTTTCCCCCAGCAAGTCAACCCTCCCTAGGAGGACTTCAGGGTTTGCAAAACTCCTTCTTCACTCTGAAATTCATTAAATCACTGTTTGATTCCTGGCACATCTGCCTCTGACATGCTCTGTTTTGCCTCTGGCCATCCCCAGGTTGGAAACCAGTCCAGTGTGGGGTACATTTAAAATTCTGCTAACACCTCCAACATTTGTCATTTTCCTTTTCTATCATATTAGTCAAACTTATAGGTGTGAGGTAGCATCTCAGAGATGTTTCAATTTACATTTCTCTAATCAATAGTGATTTAGAGCAGTTTTTCATATGACTATAGATAGCTTTTATTTCTTCTTCTGAAAATTGCCTTTTAATATTCTTTGACCATTTAGCAATTGAGGAAATGTCCCTTAGTCTTATAAATTTGACTCAGTTCTGTATATATTTGAGAAATGAGGCCTTTATCAGAAAAACTTGTTTGGATCCCCCCAGCTCAGTTTTCTGATTTCTTTTAATGGAAAGGATTTCAAAGAGAAGAAAGAAAGAATATGTGATAATAAACTTTTACATGAATACTAAGACAAATGGAAAAAAAAATAATGTTCTATAATTTCAAATATACTGACACATATATGTATGTATATAAATGCATATGTATATATATGCATCTATATACACACACACACATACATATATATACACATATATGTGTGTGTGTGTATATATATATAACATATATATGTGTATATATATGTGTGTATATATATATATGTTATATACATATATACATACATACACACACACACACGTTTTACCCAAGTCATTTAGGTAGAATTTTTTTCAAGGCTGCAATGATGTCCTTATTTCTTAGGCTGTATATCAGAGGGTTAAACATTGGGGTGCCAATACAGTAGACAAGAGAAAGCAATTTGTCTATGCCTTTTGATTTTTTGGACTTAGGTATCCAATGTGCCATCATTCCAGATGCAAAAAATAATCCAATAACCATGAGGTGGGAAGAGCAAGTAGAGAATGCTTTGTGTCTCCCGATGGCTGATGGAAGTTTCAGGATGGTGGTGATAATTTTGACATAGGACACAAGAATTAACAATAAAGGAGCTATTACAAAGAATACAGCATTAACAAAGATAAAAAGTTCACTCATAGTGATATCACCACAGACTATTTTCATTAATGGAGGAATATCACAAAAAACATGATTGAGTTTGTTAGAACCACAGAAAGGCAGAGAGAAAACTTGGTATGTAAATTGTATCTCTACTGGAATCCCACTTATCCAAGAACCAATCAGCAGTTGGACTTGCTTCTTGTGATTCATGATTACAGAATAGTAGAGTGGTTTACAAATAGCCACATAACGATCAAAGGCCATTACAGCTAGGAGGAGGCATTCAGCGACTCCAAAAACAAGAAAGAAATAAAATTGTACAGCACAAGCTATGAAAGAAATATTTCTGTTCTGGGTCCAAAGATTTTTCAGCATTCTGGGAACCATGACTGATGTGTAGCAGATTTCCAGGAAAGAAAGGTTTTTAAGAAAAAAGTACATGGGTGTGTGGAGAACTGGATCAATATTGGTTATTACAATTATTAAGCCATTTCCTAGCAGGATACTCATGTAGATAACCAAGACAATTGCAAAGAGGAAACCTTGAATATTGGGAAAGTCAGAAAATCCTATGAGAATGAATTCTATACTGAATGTGAGATTTTCTCCTGCCATTCTTGTTTTAAGTCTTATATTCTTAGAAATAGATGAGTCTGGGTAGCCAGGTCACATTTCCTTTGTAGATTGTAATATCTTGATCTGTAAAAGATATGTTCAGATCAGATTTTAAGAAAAGGAATCTTTCTAGACCTAGCACTGCTATTTTATGCTCTTAGGTTTTTTTTTTTTTCATTGAACAATTCCACAATTTTTATTTCTTTTTTAAAAATTCAGTTAAAATAATTATAACAAACAATGATAAAGGAAAATCAGTAATCTGATATGAAAAATCACTTGCCTATGTTCTATATACTAAAATTAAGTAGCTGTCCTTTCTTCCTAGGTACTATTTCCTGTTTGGATTTCTATAGCACTGACATCTCTTGGTTGTCCTACCTAATGAATCACTCCTTTGCTTATCATTTATGTCACACTCCCAAACCATGGTTATTCTCAATGTTTTACTTGGGCTATTTTCTATTCTTTTCACACTTTTTTTTTAATTTGGTGTTATCACTAGAAAAGAGGTTTAATTATTTCTATCCACATGACTCCCTGGTTTGTGTATCCATCACTCTTCTCTGAATTCTAACATGTACGCCTCCAACAGATTATTCACTGTTTCAAAATAATACATCCCATGTGTACTGAAGCTCATCATATCCAAAGCAGAACTCAGTATCTTTTCCCCAAAATACAGTCTCTTCCAAATTCCTCTGTTTCTATTAAGAGAATCCATATCATTCTAGTCACCCGTATTCACAACCTTGTCTTAACTCTTGCTTCTATATCTCCCTGATTTAACACGGTCAAGCAGGTGCCACAACTTGTCGTTGCTTTTTTTCTACCTTTACAATTGATGGCCCATCCATCCCAATATATATCTCACTACTCTCAGTGCCCTATTACAGAAAATTTCATCACTTATACTCTCTTTCAACAACCTCCTTAAGAGTCTGCTTTGGTTAAACCTTAAAAACTAAAACCGTAAACACTTCCTTTAAACTACCAGAGTGATTTTCCATACACAGTTTAAAATATTCCCTTCTCCAATATTTACTCCAAACAACACCCAGAATGTCTTTTCTGTATATACCTAAAACCTTTTCCCTCTCCAATATCTTCTCCAAATCACTGCCAAACTGATTGAGGAGGTATGACTCTTAAGGAAGCTGTTGCAATAGCATAAGGCTGTGGTAAAATGGGACTGAACTAAGTAATGACTATGAGAGTAGAGAGATTTATAGGGGAATGAACAGGAGAGTTGTTGTAGATATAGAAAACACAATGCATACCTGTGTGAATATATCCGGGAAGGTTTGTGTTTGTGTGTGCACATAAATGTGTGTGCAAGTATGTATACGCATATACGCACATATATGTGTGTAATGTCACCATACATACAAGTGCAAACTCACACGTATGTACTGTGTATTGGTGGTTTGGTTATATCTGTACATCCAAAATGTACAAATTTATAATGTGCATATTATGTATGATTCATGTATCTATTGGCATCCTGATACAGAAATTCAAGTGTTCATAAACCAAAATGTTCCCAGCTACATAGATATGTCCACACATATACTTAAGTTTGTATGTGTGTTAATACCTATATGTATATATGCATTCATACATATATATGTGTGTGTATGTATATCTGTACATATACATATATGTGGGTATGTGTGTGGGCATATACATATGAGTGTATACACACATACAAACACACATAAGTATATACACATATCTTCTCCAATGGCTATGATGCTGTCCTTTTACTTTATTTTTTTCCCCTCATCAACCATGCCAAAAATGCCATGATTGTAGATTTAATGAAATTCAATGAATTTTCTGCTTTCTTTTCACTCAGTGCCAATTTAAGTACATGGAATTGATGAAAGAAGACATAGCATAATTATATTCTGGTATCAGTGTATTGGAAGGAGAGGATGGAAGTCTCTGTTTGTCCTATAAGATAAAGCAAATTTATTTAACTCTTCAGAAATTCCCAAGATAGAAAGACTGGAAGTAAACCACTTAGTCTGTGGACTTAAACATCCTACATACTTTGAAATTTCATTTGAAATGTCATTTCCTTTCCCAAATATGCTCCCTTCTCAAGTATGAATTTTTCATGTGCTGATTACAAAATAAACTTTTACTCCTTTTATAATGTTCTCCTCATACCCTCAATCTTTCTTCCATTTACCTGAACTGACATATCCGTTGTACTAGAATGAACAATAGTTTTGACATCAATCACTCTAATTTCTAGGTCTAACTCTGCTCAAAACTAACTTTATAATAAAAATGACATCCTTGGAATGTTGTATGTTTTAGTTTCCACATCTGTAAATTATGATAAGCATTAACTGAATGGATAAACACAAATGAAGGGGTTACATACAGGAGAACATTTATTTCTGTGTGAATATCACGGAATGAAAGGGTGTGCAGTTCAGTGATTATTTAGGCATATTTCCAATTTGATGTCCAGAATGGCTGTGCTAATTTAAAGATCAAATAACAGTGCTTGAACATGGGTCCTAAAAGTTAGAAAAAGATAGACAGAGACAGAAAAAATGACAGAGACAGAGGGAGACAAAAAAACTGAGACAGAGAGACTGAGAAAGAGAGGAAGGAAGGCAGAAAAGCAGGAAGGCAGAAAACAGAGAGATAAACCAGATAATTTCTAATGGTTCTCTTCTAATACATTGTCTTCTATATTCTAAGGACATTCTTCCATCTCTAACCTTGTTGCTCCCTTTAAATTAATAAATCATATTCCACCTTTTAGAGTCAATTTGACTTCTAACTTTTCACTTTCTAGTAAGTACCTTTGAATTGAAAATTCAAGAAATTATTTGTAGAATTGGCAATAAATTGAGCCATAGCATGGCTATCTTGACTCCAAATTGGTACTGCTCTATGATAGCTAAACATTTTAAAAAGTATTATCATGAAATTAAACTATCACAAGAATAGTTTTCGAAGAAATTGTACTGTCAAAAAAGTCACATTCGTAGCTATTGAGGTAGGTCTTTTTTTTTTCCTACTTTGTGTATATTGTTGGGAAGAAACAAAGATTTTCTTCCCACGAACTTTCCTCTAGTATTGTCTCTGATTCTCCATTATCAGTGCTTAGGTTGGCCATAGTTTCACAAGGAAAGACATGGAAATTGTGTATTTGTTAATTTTGTTAATTCCATCAGTAAAGTGCCTTTGACTTTATATGCTTAACGGTGTTCTCATGTCTGTGTATAATTGTCCCAAGCTCTCAGGCTCATGCGCTGAGACTGTGTGTGTGTGTGTGTGTGTGTGTGTGTGTGTGTGTGTGTGTGTGGCCAGAGCTACTTGATCCCTACCAAGAAAAAATTTATTTAGCTCACTTATACTTTCTGATAGTTTTTGCTCATAATTGTTAAGAATGAACTTCCATTTATATAAATAAAATAAAACAACCTCCTTCTCTACCAGTAGGCTATATATTTTTCAATTCACTTTCCTAGATATGACCTTTACTGATATGATTGGAAGTCAATTCTGAAAACTACATAAGCTACTTCAGCAAAGAGGGTCTTTTTTTCAGATACAAGAGAATCATGTTATTATGCCTTATGTGAATCTCTCATGGTTAGGTAATTAGCCCTAAACAAATACTCCTCAAACCACAAATACTGATATAATGGAAGATAGAGTTGATGCTTACCTTAGTTTTCTTGAATGGTAAAGATTACCTGCTCCATTCTTTGATGAACATGTTTGAAAGCACAATACATATATGTGTATATACATATAAAGTATACAATATATCCATATGATTGAGTATACAATATATCAAAAGAAATATAATTAAATCATCAAAAATCTATGACACCCCCCAATTCTTTAATACACATATATCTCTAACATGAAAGGTAATTTGTGTTTTAAGCCACTAACTCTTTAAGTAGAAAAAATTCTTTCTCTGTTCTGTTCTGGGACAATTATTTTTTCAACTTACTTTTTTTTCCCCTTTTTATTAACAAGCACTATCTTCTAGGTTCAAGCCCAAGCCCAGGGTTCCACTAAAGTTAATTAGCTGAGGTAATGAGACTAGAGTCAAGAGACCATAATTCCACCATTGCCTCTGCTAATTAATAGCTGTGTAAACATTGACAGAACTATATCTAGTTTGAAACCTAAATTTCTTCATGTATAAGATAAATATGATGATATTTGTGATCTTTGAACCATGGGACTATCATAAGAAAGTATACTATTAAAGGTCAAGTTTTCACAAAATTTGAATTAGTAGTGTTAGTGAAAATAACAGTATCGTATCATTCTCTTCCCAAAGGAAAGGTAGTAAAATGGAATATGTGCTCCTTTTAGAGTCAAAGTTCCTGGGTTTCAAACCAGGCTTAATAATTTATTACTTACCTAACATTGGGCAAAGCTTTTCAATCATTTGGGCCTGTTTCTACTCAGTAAAATGAGGGAATTGGAATCAACAGCCTCTGAGATCCCTTCCAGATTTAAATCTAAATTTGATTCAATTAGTTGCAACAACAACTCATGCTATTTTGACCAACTCTTTTCTTCTCTATAGAATTTCTTTGTGAATGACAGTTTAAAATATAGTTACTCCACTGAGATATTGGGAGGGTTAATGGATGGATCTGTTTATCCATATGTTAATGGATGAATGATAGACTGTTGTGGCCAGAACATACAAACATATACACATATGCATATACACATATCCATATATATATATATATATATATATATATATATACATACACACACACACATATATATATGGATATGTGTGTATGTGTATATATATATATAATATATATATATATACACACACACACACATACACACATAGCCAGAGACACACACATATATGTATATAAATATATAAAATATACACATGCATACACACATATAAATATATACATATAAATATACACACATATGCACACACATTTGTGTATATATACATACATGTACATATATACATA